TACCTTTGACATTTGAATCGATCCGGTACAAATTCCCGGTACCTACGAATCGATACCGGTACTTAACGGCACCAATTTTCGATACTTTTGAGTGTTTAATATTTTTAATTATCTTTTATAATTAAATATATATTTTTCTCAATATATAACCATATTTGATAAATATCACGATAAATGACATTCAACTGTTTGTATTTTAACATCGTCCTTGTAGTTTTATAAGCTGATAATTAAACTGAAGCAAACATCTTTACTGTGAACTAAATTTACTGTGTATCTTCATTCCTTTTGCCGTCCTTTTTCATTTGATTTTTCCTACTGGGAAGTTAGAATTTCCAAGGAGAAAGCGAACGCACCATTAGCTGATTACAATGGTGGCATAGGAAGCTAACATATCAAGCTACGTTATCTTAAACAGTTTAACTGCTGGAGCAGATTAAAACGATGATGCCTCACACTTAAATCGTTGTCACTGGTTTCATCTTCACTCAATCACCCGTCGCATTTAGTAAAGTGAAGCCAAACTTTAGAGCGCGTTCATGTTCTTCTAGTCGGAATTTCGGAGTTCCGAGGAGAAAGCGAACGCACCATTAGTGAAACGGAAGCTAAGAAATCAAGCTAACCTTATCTTAAACATTTTATTTACCTACCGGAGCAGATTAAGATGAGGATGTCTCACTTAGATCGTTGTCGCTGGTTTCATCATCACCCAGTTACCCATCATATTTAGTGAAGTGGACCCAAGCTTTAGCGTGCGTTCTTTCAACCACACTCTTGCGCATGCGCAGCTGTCTAGGCAAGTTCTCGTTGTGAAGGACGGGTACCGAAACGAGGCACCGTTTCAAATGAAGTGAATCGGTGCTCGGTTGGTACTGTGGAATTTGGTCGGTACCTTAAAAAGTACCGAATTCGGTACCCATCTCTAAGTACAAATGGATGCCTTGAGTGAAGCTCTGTGGAGAAAAAGTTCCTGTTCCAGGAAGTAGAAGTTGGTCGGAGGAATTGGAGCAGAAAACAGCAGGATTTGGAGTCATAATATTCCTGATATTCAGACATCTCTCATCTGATTGGCTAACAGCAATGCGACTCTGCCACTGACTCGGTGGTGTTTTATCTCCGTCTGCGCTGTGGCGTTGCTAATGCTAACAGTTAGCTTCTACCAACTGAGACATGCTCTACTCTCTCTTGGATGCTAAATCCACAACAGCTTTCCTCGCCGTGAGCCAAGAAGGTTGAGTCCGTAGATCTGAGTGGCCTTTTCTAATCCCTGTCTTTTTCGGTCAACTTGCTCTTCAGCTGAAATAAAACAGCCTGTGCATGGCTGATATAATCTCTAAGCCACTACATGTGTTACTTTCCTAATGCCATGTTGGTAAGCATTAAATATCACCTGATTTATTATCAAATGTGTCTCTACTTAAAGGGCTCTGACGAGGTTTGACAACCGTGAGTTTGTGTATTCTTGTTCCCATCTATCATCTTCTGGATGCGCACTCCCAGTCTGTGTTTTTCATCTATCGAAACACAAATACACCGTGTCAATTCTGTGCTCACGAAACAAAGTGGAGCACTCTGTACAAGAAAAGCTTGCCTAGGGCTAGTCATTTTGAAATTAAAAGCATGTCTCTTTGTTCGGCTCCAGATCCGGGAACGAAGGGGAGAATGTGAATGCGTCGCACAGAGGGAAAGGGAGAACTGAACAAGTGCTGTGATTTTCACAGCCGGGGAATCACAGAGAGTCTTTTATCTATTCCCCTCCATCAGGAGACATCCAGCAGGAAAGGTAGGAGGATTAGATTAGCTGGAGAGGGAGAGAGGGAATGAGAGAGTGGCTCCTCTAATCCTGATGGGCTTCTTTATTTTTCTGAGGTACACCCATCACTGAGGAGAAACATGGAGGGTGCAGTGAGGAGCTGGGATCATTAGGGGAGGGAGCGGGACGGTTCGCCTCAGTAAACTCTTCACACTCGCATGAAAGAGGCTCCAGCAAACTAGCGGATTAGTCAGAGTATAATTACAGTTGTGGGCCTCAGATGTTGCAAAACGTTCTCCGACTGAAATGCCCCTCAAACATTCAGAGTGAGAAAGGAGAAACATCGGCTAACGTGTTGCTCCTGTGCTTTTTACCAAATTCCCTAACAGAGGTATAAGAGTTTTTACGGAGCACCGGCATCCCAGATCAAAGCAGAGTTTGGGGCATTAATTAGTTTTAATGAGTTTCTTAGTTCACGTTACTCCAGTTGTATTTCCTCCCCCTCCTCCTAAAATATAGGATGCTCAACATAATCTAATTGAAGCAGGATTAGTAAAACATCTAAGAAAACCAGCATGAATAATTACTCTGTTTAAATGTTAACCTGTGTGCTTTAACCTCTTTATTCCTCTACTTTTTATTTTGGGAGTTTTTAATGATTTTGTTTTACTTTCATTTAATTTTTGTCTAAAGTTATTCTGTCGGCCTCCAGCGTGGGCAGCAGTAACGCGTTTCCTGAATGTTCACATGACGATAAAGCTTGGACCTGGAATGTCTCAGCATTTATAGACTAACTTGTCGTCTAGACGTTAATGCCAGACTCGCAACCAAGTCCAGAACATTAGAACTGCGTCATTTTCCTTAAAGCTCAACAGTAATTAGCAGAGGTGTGGACTCGAGTCACATGACTTGGACTTGAGTCATTATTTCAATGACTTCTGACTTGACTTGATAAAATCTATAAAGACTTACGACTTGACTCGGACTTGAAAGCCAATTACTTGCAAATTGAATCGACTTGCATCTGTTGACTTGATGATGACTTGAGCGTATTTGATATTTTAGCACAAAAGTGGCACGACATGGACAAAAATCATGAATCATTCTTGGTTCTGGGTTAGATCTTGTGCTGCTAACTGCAGCAGCACTTTGTTTATAATCAGTTTCAGTTGCACTTTCTGCTCGTTTGAGCAAATAAATGAAGCTTTAAAAAGTTTTATTTCTGGAATTCATTTATTATCATTGTCATTAAATTAAAGTTGGACAGATGACTTGATAATGACTTGAAAATTTAAAGTTGAGGACTTGGGCTTGACTTGGACTTCCACCTCATTGACCTTGGACTCGACTTGGACTTGATTGTATTTGACTTGACTCGAGACTTAAGTGGAAAGACTTGTGACTTGCAAAGCAGTGACTTGGTCACACATCTGATAATTAGGGACTCTTTTTTATAATCTTGGACAATCCTAACTATGTTTTGATCAATAATGATTTAAAGAGAACACATATGATCAGAAAAGTTAAAGCTGCTGCTGGTGGTTTATTAAGGTCACCATGGTAACCAAACTCCTTCATCAGACTCAAAGAAATGGAAAAACAGGAAAAAATTCAGGCCTCAAACAGTCAACTATGTAAAACCTGAACTTTATTTGGGAGAAGGGTCTTTGGTCACACGCCGTTTTATGTCTCTACAGTGTTTTATGTCGAAGAAATCAAAAAGTACAAATGAATAAAACCTCTGTTTGAAAGCGATAACGGTCAATAGACAAAACCAGTAATGTTTTTGTTTATCGACTAAAAGTTTGTGGGAGCCAGGATAGTTTGTTTGCAAACATTTAGGAAAGTTTAGATTTTAACGTTAGATTTTAGCATCCATAGTTAACTGGATCAACACAAAAGCTAAACTTTGATTGTTTATTAAAGATATGCAAATAACATTTCAGAACCACAAAGTCCAAATGTTTCCAACTTCTACTTCCTGAAACAAGAACGTGAGAGCTTTTTTTTATTCACAAAGCATTAATACAAACATTACAGCAGATCTATTGAAATGTGATGAAATAGAGAGTGAACGACTCGTAAAAGGTTTTTTTTTTATGTTAAGTGGGTTTACTGATGTTTTTCTAAGGGGAGTACCAACACTTTTATTTCTACTGCAAGCAAAGGTTACGATCACAGGTAAGCTAGTGATGGAACTGATCACAGCCTCCATGCTTTTGTTATTAATGCATAATCTTTAAAACAAAGGATGCTCGAAATTAGTATTAATCATGGTTTTATGGAATTAGTCCTGTTGTGTGACTAATGCACCTCCATCCCTCCGCCCGTAAGCTGTTTGGTGCCATTCTGGCCCTGATCTTCCTCCAGAGTGTTATTAACAATTATTAATTCTAATTCTCAGACCAGATCATTTTTCAGGTTTTTCACTTTGATTCATTTATTTCAAATCTGTGTTTATTGTTATCTCTTAATTGTGATTGCTTCAAAATAAACATGAGGTAATTATGTAGTAATGCTTTTAAACCCTGCTTTACACAATGCTGTGCCCCCCCCCCCCCCACACACACACACACACACACACACGCGCGCGCAAAAAGTTACTGCTACAAGTTTCTGTTGCTATCCTAGACTAAAGAATTGTTGTCTAAAATTGTGAATTAGATATTTTTTTATGGCTGAGATTAATTTCTACACTTTTATTAATACAGAAAACGATCAATATTTGCGACAACGTACTCCTCTGCATGTCATCTCCCCGAGGAGTTAATCACATTTAAATAATAAAGAAGAAATAGAGGAAAACAAGCAAACTAATGGCTTAAATTATTAAAATGTATAGGTGATATGTTGTACTATTATTTGCTGTTTTTAAATGAGTTTGCACATTTTTTCAGCTAAAAGAAATGAAACACTGATGTTTAGGAGGATTTATTAGTCAGTGTTGTAATACATCAGTGAAGGAGCTGAGGAAAAAGGGATTTCTGCGTTCATGATTTGCTTCTTGGCTTGAAAATAGCGTGCTTGAGAGAACAGATGTTGCTGGGATCCAGCTGCAGAGGTGAAGAAGAGGAGGAGTGAAGGTAGAGCTAGACAAAGCAGCATCTGGCTTAAACGTTTATGTTTTTCTGTTTGCTGGTTGGGAAACAGAACAAGGTGGTTTTATTTGTTGTTTCACGGCAAACATTGATCAGAAATTGCGCTGTACATCACATTTGAGGGATTTTGTTTTGCTTTTGTTCTCCAGGTGCCAGAGGTGAAGCCCTGCAGCATGGCCAGTCTGAGACCCTCCCCCGCTTCCTGCAGGAGCCTGTTGATGCCTACATTATTAAGAGTAACCCCATCAAGCTCCGGTGTCAAGCCCAGCCAGCGCTCCAAATCTTCTTCAAGTGCAACGGAGAATGGGTCCATCAGAGCCAGCACATGTCTCAAGAGCATGCCGATGTTGTGACAGGTACGACGAAAACCACTTAACCTGATCCACTCCCTCATAACTGACATGATTGGTTTATGTCCGATTAAAAAATGAAGGCAATTCATCAAAAATGTTAACCAAGACTCATTTTGACTGAATAAGTAGTTTGATGGTGAACAGATTTTAACTCACTGGTTTTATAGATTAAAGTTAAAAAGTCCCATCAGTTGTCACACGCAATGTGCGAAATTTGTTCTCCACATTTGACCCATGCCCTGGGGGAGCGGTGAGCTGCAGACACAGCCGCGCTCAGGAACCATTTGGTGGTTTAACCCCCCAATACAACCCCTTAATGCTGAGTGTCAAGCAGGGAGGCATTGGGTCCCATTTTTTTCTAAGTCTTTGGTATGACCCGACCAGGAATCAAACCCATGATCTCCCAGTCTCAGGGCGGACACTCTACCACCAGGCTACTGAGCTGGTATAGAGGTGTTATGGCGGTTAGCAGGGCTAACCCATATGAGCAATGAGCATTTTCTGTAAATTCAGTGCATGATTCATATAAACACATTTTGTTGATTTACATTAACCACCTGGAGCCATGTATAAAATGTTATTCTCTTCTACTTGTTTGTTACTGTTTACAGACACTTGATATTGACTTTAAATACATATTTTTGTTGTTTTTCCTTTTTTTCAGTAAATTTGACATTTTTATTTAACTGTATTTTTAAGTTATTTAAATTTTTGTAAAATTTTTTCCCATTAAAGAGCAAGTCACCCCCAAATCAACTATTTTTTTATAAGCTATATAAATGTGTATACGTGCTGCAGACACGAGTTGTCAATAGTTTTGCACTTTAGTGCATTTTAGTTAAAATTTAAAATTTCTGCCTAAAACTGTCAGTGTTGTGCCGTTGTCAGGTAAAAACTCTGCACTGCATTAGAATTTAAATCTGCCATCGCTATTGGCTAAGAGGTACCCTAGAACGTTAGCTGGTACCATATGATGTCACAATGCCGTTGTGAGCCTGCGTGTGTGTATTTGTTAGCGGCTCCGCCCTCTCGGTCTGATAGGCGACAGCATTTGTTGCATTTTTCAAACAGGAAGTGGGAGTGGAGTAATACTCTGGTAGGGGGTGTCTTGCTCTTTAAATAAAGTTGACTAATCTGTAATAGCTAGATATGCTTTTTTTTTAATCACATGAAATTAGGGCTGGGCAATAAATCGAAAATTTATCGTTATCGAAATTTCTTACTCTTATCTAGATAATTTTTCCCATGTCAATAAGTTAGATATTAAACAAATGAAACGATGTGTGTAGGTTGGCAGTGTTCATGTCCCTTTAAGAAGCCACCTTGAGTCACATAAAAATATGACTCTACTTAATACACGTGACAGCCCCATCTAGTGGACAACTTTTGTTTCTGTGCATACCAGTATACATCCTCCGATTATTGTTATCGAAGTGAAATCCTCAGTATATGGTAATATTGATTTTAGGCCATATCGCCCAGCCGTACATGAAATACAAGTTTGGGACCCAGTGGGTTAAGTTAGATAATGAAATATTAGGGTAGCCATTTATATGTGGTTATTTTACTCCTGTGATGAAGAGAATTTATGTTCAAAGTGTTTCACCTTCAAGTCTTTCCTACCAACGTCGATTAATTACTAGCAAATGATAAATTAGATGTTTTTCTTTTGTGTAAGCAATCTTCAGGAGAGCATTTTCACGCTGTGCATCTGCAAAGATTTTCAAATGTTTTTAACAGAAAACCAAATAATTGGTTATTTAAAGGACTGTTTAACAGGTAAAGTACTCTGTTTTAATATATATATATATATATATTTTTTTTTTTTTTTTACTTTATTTATTAATTATTTTTTTTTTACTTTAGTGTTTTGATAATGCAACATCTTGTCCCTCCCACTCAACCATTACCTTTTCTTCTTCTGATCAGTGTTCATGGAGTTGAGTTAGCTGAAAGCGAAGCTAACGCTAGCTCACTTCCTTTCTGTTTGAGTAGACGCATTCATTTTTTGGGTCAACAAATATTTCCTTGCAGTTCTGCTCAATTATGAGCCAAAATAACTGAGCATCTTCCCATCTCACAGAATCCATTAGAAAATTGATCTGCAGCAAACGTTGTGCTCCGTTTTTTTCATGTTATTTTCTGCTCCACACCTCTTCACCTCAGCTCACGTTCGCTATAGTTCTTCATGTCACACTGCTCTAGAGGTTAGTGTTGTTGTTCTTGTGCACACTCGGGTTTTCTTCCACAGTCCAAAAACACGTACCGCTGGAGACTTAAATTGGCCCCAGGTATGAGTGTGACCATGGCTGCCTGAATTTGTTACAAGGTGCAGCAAAAAATCAGACAGATGAAAATCTAATCAACTGTAACTACATCACAGACATATTGTACAATCATACGGGTATAGAGCCAGCGACAGAGTGTGGTTGTTTGGCTCAGCTGGATTATAATTAGGAGACCTGAGCTTGAACTCTGATTCTGTCACTGTTTTCTTTTTTCCTTCCAACCAATCTCTGCAAAATGTGGCCCATTAAAAGTAAAATTTAACCCTTCAGAAAAACCTTTCATTTTGAGACTAAATTCAGTTCAATTTGAGCCAAATTGTCTTTTAAGGCCATAAAATGCTCACTAGGGGTTCACACACTTGCTCCAGGCTGATGTCCACATCTAACCAACATGAAAAGACTTAACCCCTCAGGCACCAGTTTAATATACTACCCACCTAGGACATTTAAGGACAAAAGTGTCCACTTTCTAAAACTACTCTAAAACATTAAAAATAGATTTTTATTCAGCATTTGGCGACCAAAAGTTCAGTCATGTGGGGGACTTTAACTCGTTTAAAGGAAATGTTTTAATTCATGAAAAATACACTAAAACTGAGTCATTTGTCATTAAACTAAATAAAACACAGCCAAGTCTTTATACTGATGTGTTTTTATTCAAAAAAATCACCATCAAGAGAGAGCTGTTGTTGCAAAAATGGATTAAGGACTAAGATGATGAAACTAAATGTACCCAAATGTACAGAAACGTCTGTAATGATGCATGAGGGCTAATTCTAGATTTTATTAGTGTGTGGGTGTTTTTTTTTTTTCAGTTAATTCAGATTCACAATCAGAAGAACTGATTTTCACTTTCTTCACATCTTATTTTTACGGCTGAATGCTGTCTGATGAGAACACTAATGGCTAGTAGTGTATGGGCTGACTTCGACTACCCCAGGGTGTCTTAATCCTGGTCCTTGAACGTGAAAATGGTCTTCTACCGCCATTTCCTGCATTAGCCAGCAAGAAAATTTACGGGGAAAACAATGATTAGAAAAGTCCGCCATATTAGGGCGTCATAATGTCAAATTCGCTTCCATGGATTCTTCCATCTTGTTTATTTAACGTTCAGGAGAGAGCAGAGCACACCTCGACTAGTAGAAGCTAACCGTTAGCATTAGCCACTCCACCACGCAGCAGAACTCCTTCAGACCTGTGTTATTTGTGGAGATAAAACATCTGTGTTGCAAAGCACATGGAGACAGCCGTAGTCGTGTTGCTGTTATCCAGTCAGATGTCCGAATATTTTCATACGTGTGTGTGTGTGTGTGTGTGTGTGTGTGTGTGTGTGTGTGTGTGTGTGTGTGTGGGTGTGGGTGTGTGTGTGTGTGTGTGTGTGTGTGTGTGTGTGTGTGTGTACTGTGTATATATATACACAAGGGGTTGCATGACTCAATTTTTTTTAAAGTCGACAGTCAAGTAATGAAAATCGAGTCGACTTCGACTAGTCGTTGATGACGTCATACACCTGAAGCCGGGGGGGGGGGGGTCTGTAGGTTCGCTGGAGTTTTTGACAATTAAAATTGCGCCCACATTTTCTAAGTTAACACATCTCTTTTAACAACGGTAGTTTCTGCTTCAGCCATCTCCCCCCTCCCCCTGCGCAGCAGCCGCAAACTCACTGATGCGCCTGCAGCCTCTCCGAGTTCCTGCTGCTCTAAACGTTAAAATAATTATTTCATTTTCTGTTCCTCACTTCTGATTACCTTCAATGGTGTCTGTTTGTTGTAACCACCAAGTACAAAAACAAACTTCTTTTTATTTGACTATTTTTCTGTCCTGCCTGTTTATTATCTTCCTGCATCTCCTCTCAATCCTAAAGAAAAACTGCTACCTGGCTTCATATATATTCACCTTATGAGTTACCTTTGAACTGCAGTTCTAAAAGATCTACCGACCGCAAAAACAGCGGCGTGCCGCTGCTCGCCGGCCAACCACAACGGGACCGTTTTTGCTGCGGAGTTCGTGCCGGAGCGGAGCAGAGATAGTGGAATCTTGGGGGTGCGTCACTGGAGAACAAAACAGGTGAGGCGCCTCGCTCCGCAGCAGCGAAACGCATCAGGCACAAATAACAGACAGAAAACATGAAAGGAAATGAGCCGACATGAACGATTGCGTGTTTAATTTGTTTTTGAGGTGGTGACACCTGATTTGGCGGTGATGCAGATGGAGCGCGTCAACAATCAGAGCTTTGCATGCGCAAACTGGTTAAGATTAGGATGGGGGTGAGCGGAAGGTAACATTGCAAGAGGGAAAAGGTCACAGTTTGGTTAAATGTCCGTTTTACCGCCGGTGTCAGTACCGACGCTCTGGCACAAGCGTCGCCTCCGCCTCTCAGCGCAAGGGCTCATCACCTGCTGGAGGACTGCATCTTGTCGGTCATTATCACGTGACAGCGACTAGTCAATGACAGGCATAAAAAGTTACTACAGAGCCGTGAAGTCGACTAGTCGACTAGTCCATACAACCCCTAATATACACACATTCCCTGAACTACCCTCACAAGAAACTGGGGAGAGCGATTGAGAATTTAGCTTAATTGCTTTTTGTAAAATCATAACTTAGTAAAAAAAAAAAAAGTCAATAATAGACCAGTGATTTTTTTTTACAGTTACTCCACTCGCTCCACTGATCAGGTGCCTAGGAGTACGAGTGCAGGATGACTCCTGGTGT